AAAAACCTAGTGAGAACTTTTTTGGTCTAATTGGCTTAGCTGTTTCTGAAGAATCTTTTCCAAATTTGGAGGCTCCAATAAGCTTCCAGAGCAAGAAGTGGCCAGGTTTGAGCTGGGGCCAGGTCAGTATGATCAGTTATTGATCTTCATCATGAAGTGAAGCAGCAAGGCCTCCCAGTGCCGTGCGTGTGCAGGATGCTGCCCTTTCACTCCACGAGAGAAACAAAACATCTGGAAATACATCGAGATGTAACCACAGCCCTTTACTTAAAAAAGAGCCGCAGTCCTGAATCAACTTGCTTTAAGCTTCATTTTGTAGTCACATATTTTGATGAGTGTTTCTGAATAGGGTTGTGCTGGGGGCATGACTTTAATGAGACACATTACCTGCAGAGCAGCAGTTTGCCTACTCCTGATTGGCACTGGGAAGAATAAAGAGATGTTTCTACTCACCTTTGATTACATGTATATTTATGCATCTTCTTTCTGAGGTGAAGAGGATAACTTTGGTGAAATGCCAGATTCATTGCAGGCACGTGATGGCATTTTTATTTGCCAAGTCATTTGATTTGCTTCAAGTTATTCATACAACAACACCCCCCCACCTAATAGTCCAACAGGACAGAAACCCAAAGATGTGAAACACTGGAGCAGTTGGATCGTGTCTGTTCTCCCGTGTTGCTAATCCCGGCTGGAAGCGTTTGCCGGGTCTAGAGACTTGGAAACGCCGGCAGCACCGAGCTCTGGGCACCCAGCAAAGCAACAGGGGCTGCAGAGCTCGAAAGGACTTCTGCTCCAGCAACAACAAGCTGTGGAACACGAGGAATTCAGTATCAAGTTCTTTTTATTCTTTTTTTCCTTTTTTTTTTTGTTGTAAAAATGTTAAATAAACTGCCTACTACTACGGCTTCCCCCCGTCCCCTTTCATTTGCTATTGTGGAATTTAGCCACATATGTTGTTTGTATCTGCAGTGCCTTTCAGCGGCGTTTCTGGCCATGCGGAGCTCCCTCATTGTCACTGCGTCTCCAGGATCCTTTAGACTATTAGAAGTCATGTTGCAATAACGCAAGCGTCTTTTTCTTATTATTACTATGATTTAAATCAATTACAAAATTTGGAGTTTTAACCTCTTAAGGGATGCAGGGTATTTTGCTGGTGAGTTAAACTGGCCTTATTGGTAGTTACGGGCAGATTAATGGCATCCTTTGAATGCTAACCGTAGGAATCCAAAAGAAAGCACAGTTTATAAAGGTGTATAAAGATTGGAAAGTATCTTATTTGTAAAGAGAATTGTCCAAAAAGCTAGTCTGCAACAAACAGACTAATCTAATCCATTCTTGTGATTCACTTGGTACTGACTGTTATTCCCATTTTCCCCAAATCTGGAGAAGTGGGGATGCCAAGTTCTCAGCAATAAATTAAGACGCCCAAACCTCAGAATTTTAATTTTTCATTTTCCTAGAACAGAAATCTCTTACTGTGCTCTGTAAGCAAGGGAGAAATATTTTAACAGAGCGGTTATTTTAAAACATGTATTTGCTACACCTTAAAGATGCCAGAGGGGTAGCTAGCGAGCTGACGGCCTCTACCCTCGCAAATCCAGGCCTTGTTTCCAGGTTCCGTCCTCCATGTCCCGTCACATATTTACAGCTGCCAGAACTGACTGCGTCTGCTACATTTACAGTGAATCTCAGGGCACGAAACAGAAAGAGCTTTACTGGGTGAGCAGAGCGGCTGTTTCTTCCGCCAGGTCACACACCAGGGTGCAGCCGATCATGTTACTCCGAGGTGAGACCTGCCCCAAGGTGTTTGGAGGGAGTAAGAGCCTAGGTGAAGCCGCGAGGCAATGGAGAAGACGGGAGGCTGCAGCAGGATGCTGCCCATCGCTGCGGGGCCTCCCCGCATCCCATGGGGCCGGAACCAGGACTTGGTGGATTGGTGAAACTTGTCCTGGAGAAAGGCTGTGCCTGGCTCAGCTACCTGGGTGTTTGCCCTCCCTGGGATTTCTCCCTTCCCCTTTCTCTCGGCTCTGCTCCCTTGGAAGGTCTTCAATCCTTCCCTCCCGTTTTCCATCCCTGGGCTTCTCTTCCACATTTCTTTGGCCCGATGACCACCAACAGGATTAGGGCTTTGCTCCCACCGGCTTTCCAGGGTGTTGCAATGAGGCCCAAGGCGCGGAGGAGGCTGCAGCCCAGACCATCTGCCTGGAGCTGCCTGCGGATATGGGAAGCTCTCCCAGGGTGGGCGATCCTGGCGAGCGCTGGACCCTCCTCCGAGCCGGCGATGGCAGAGGGCGGCTGGCGGCAGCGCCCGCCGGGATGCACAGCAGTAGGATGGCGCCGGCCTCGGCGGCCTGGTCCTCCGCTCCAGGCCATAGAACAGGTTCAGGAGCTTTCCCAAATGGGGCCGGGATGAAAACGCAGCTCCAGGCCCACAGAGCACCGCCTGCCCCGGCCCTGGGCGCCCTCCTGGGCACCTTCCACCACCATCAAGGACATGGCAGTGGGAGAACAACGGGAGGGCAGGACCCACACAAGTGGAGAGTCCTGCGGGAAAACCGACAGGATGGGACTGGATGGGTGTGCTTGTTGGGAAGTGTGGCTCCAGGAGCAGGGAGGATGGGGGTATGGTTGGGATCCAGCCCCACTAGTGCCCTCCTGGCTCCCTCCATGCTCACAGGGTTCTGCAGCTTCATTCACCTCATAACACAGAGAGCAGGGCTGCATCCTCCCCGTGCCGCTCTCCATTGGAATCGGGTTGGTTTTGGCACTCGTGCCAGGGCCAAGATGCAAAGAGGAAAGCTCTCCAGAGGGAAAAGCTCTGCTTGGAAGCTTGGGAGCTTGGAAACTCCCCTTCTCTGGGGTGCACAAGACCCCCAGTCGGGGCTGCAAAGGCGAACGGCATGTGGCTCCCTGCCCCAAACACCCCACGTCTCCTCCGGCACCTTCAAAGGTGCTGATTTTCCCTTCCCATTCTTGGACAGGCCATCGCCAAAGCTGCACATCTCCCTCTGAGGTGGAAGGAGCTGGGAAACATCCTGGCAGTCCATGGGCAGCACCAGCACTGCTAGCAGCATAAAGGGCTCCAGAGGAGGAGGAAGAGGAGGAGAAGGAGCAGGAGGAAGAGGAGGAAAGCAGGGCCGGGAGGGAAAGGCGCTCCCAATAATAACATGGCGTCTGGCCTGGGAAGAACCTGATGGAAGTGGGGAGCTGGGCTGGGCTGGGAAAAAGTTTGTCTGGGAGAAAGGGAGAGGCTGCCTGGAACAGGTAGAAGCTGCACCCAAAGAGGTTGCTGCTCAGGACTGCGTGTTTCTGGTTATTTAAACATAAACTGTTTCGAGGGAGAGGGATGAACTGCCCGTCCCTTTCATCTCTGTGACAGGCAGGGGACAGTTAGGACACCCACAACTCAATTTATTAAACATGACAATGATTAATGACTCTGAAATTAATCCACAAGCTTAATGTCTTGCATACGTCAGAGCTGTACCAGGAAAAGCAGGGGTCTTGATGTCCCATCTTTCCTTCTTTTCATTAATTTAACCCAAGACGAGAAGGAACATGACAAGTGTGCACTCTCCAGGTGCCAGTCTCCAAGCTTTTGGGGGCACCAGAGGTGAGAAAACCAAACCAGCAGGGGGGATTATGCATTGTCACCCAGCAGAGCAGACACAAAAACCTGGGTATTGCCAGGCTCCCATGGTTTGCTGGCCGGGATAGCCTTGCCAGACCATTCCCTTAAACCCCCACCTCGAGAAACTCCTACAGAGAAACTCCATAGCGCCTCTTTGAAGCCGTCATTATAAAACTGAAGCAAAACACCGGGGATCTTGTTCCCTATAGCGCTGCCCCGAGAGCAGTTTTGTGGAGCTGGTGTAAAGCCACGAGAAATGGGGCCAGCTCTGAGCACTCCCATGGCACCAGCTCTGTGTTACTGTGAACAACGTTGGAGCAATGGGAAACTCCGTGCGGCAGAGCGACAGATCCCACTGGGAAGTCTTTGGATGCAAAGTTTGGTGGTTGCAGAGCGCTGTTTTTTAGCAGCACAATCTTTCAGGATGCTAAGGGAAATTATACAGTTAAAGCTTCGTGTACCAGTGTTGAGCAGACAACCCTGTGCCAGAGGTGACGGCAACCAGTTGTTGCAAGGATGGTTTGTGGGAACATATGGGAACGTATCCCAGTGCTTCCCTGATCTCAGTGGGACTTCCCAGCAAAATGTGTGTTGGGGTGACCACACGTGGGCATAAATCCAGAGAAAGAGAGCAAAAACCATGCAAACGAACGCGGGTATATTTAGGGAGCAAGTACACTCGAGGGTCTTACAGTAACAAGGATAAATTTTGGAGAGAGAGTTAAATTTAGAAATAATTATTTTGGGGGTGGCTGCGAGGAGAGGGGGTACATTTCACTGCTGTCCGCAAGGAGAAAACGAGTCACTCATCAGCTCGGTTTCCATTTATTTTTTCAGTCCCGCCATTGCTGCAATCTCCTACCAACCTTCAGCCTTCCAGCAAGCCGAATGAGTGGTTTAAAATAAATAAATAAATAAATAAGGTAGATTTTTTTTTCTTCGTGTTTTGAGAAAATTTCATTAAAAATCTGAGGTGGGCGGCAGGGGGGAGCGATCAACAGGTATTTCCCATCCCAGCTGGGCGGCGAGGGGAATAAACCTGAGGCAAATGCGGCTGCGGGAGGGGGAGGAAAGGGGCTTCCCGAGGGGCGCGGAGCGTTTCCCGGCGCCTCCCGCCT